CTTCGGGGAATATGATAAACATTGAAAATGTCACAGCATACAGCACAATGGAAATCTCGGGGACAGTTGTTTTTCATCCCCACCTTCGGAGGTAGCTACCGGTAGGTGACACCGATTGCTGGTTTGCGGTAAATTACCGGCAGACAAAGGGATAAACCGGGTAATGTACTTCACTGATATATACACACACCCCTCCCCCCGCCGCGATACCCTTCGTTTTCGTCTCAGGCAAAGTTCGTTGGCAAGGCCGAGCAAAACAACCAGTGCACGCTGGACCGCACCATCTTCGACCAAGCGCAGCGGCAGATCTACAACCTCACAGAGACGGATATATTCCCCCGCTTCATTCAGTACGTTCGTCAATGCCAGGTAAACTCGAGGTAGCCAGGTTGCCAATTATTAGATAACTTGGAAGCGTTGGGCTTGGTGCTTTGTTTCAAGCGCTAATTCCTCGCTGAACCTTCACAAGGCAACACCGCGGGGACTGGTGTTCAAAGTTTCTTGAGCCACCGGTTAAATTGCTGAGGTTGCTACAGGTGGATGTATGCTATACGAGTGGGTTCCAGTTGGCGTCCGCCTTCAGATCCGCAATAGGAAGATACCATGCGGTCCCTTCGGCAGCAGCACAATTCGTCTCCCTTTACCAGCGTCCCGGATCTGCAGTCGACATCATGTACCAAATGTTCTGCATCATATTCGTATCACATACAACCGGCATTGGTATTTTCCCCTCTCTCAAGGGCACATGACTTCCTCTGCCAGCCTTTAGAGAGTAACCGTTGTCTTCATCACGTGGGGTGAGAGGTGCAGTGTTACATCAGAAGAGTTTACATGTGGGTTGTCGAAAGGCCAAGGAATACACCGGAATGCATCTGCTGCCCCCCATCCCCCCATGTTTGATTGTTGCATTTGATAACCTACCCGCGAGGTTCTGTGAGTTCTGTACGACCTTGGCACAAACCCGATTTTTTCTGTTGAGTTCTGTGGCACTTGCGATACAATACCGGATATTTCTGTGAGATCTGTTGCACTTTCAATACCCTACAGAAAACTTCTGTGAGTTCTGTGACAACTTCGAAACCCTACAGAACATACCCTTCATTGTTCCATGAGGCCAGTCGCCCCGGGGTAGTCTTGGTATCCTAGAAAACCTTCTATTTAGTGGCCAGGGTCAGGGGTTCGAATCCCGGCGTAGGCGAGGGTGAAAGCGCTAGTTCTTGCGTACACGAAGGGAAGAGAGTGTTCTCGCAGTAATATTCGAAGGCAAAATACCGCAGGAGGGGTGAGTTGGGGGCTCCAGGGAGGGGAACCCTTCTGTGTGACCACGGGTTGGAGTAAACGACACAAGTGCAGTGAGCACTGATTTGAAGTGAAAAAAAACAATAAGAACGTTGTTTTTTATTCGAGCGAAGCGAGATTTCTAACCTGGCCTGAGGTCTTGCCGCAATATAGGGCCCCATCAAGACCAAAACGTTTGTCACGTCTGTTCGCTTAACTTAGGTTTTAGAGTACATGACTTGATTTTAGACCAAAGGGGTCAGCAGATGCACTTTTTTTTTTTTCGGAGCACACAGTGGATTGCAGCAGAGAAAACACGCACTGCAGACGACACCACACAGCAGACAACACACGCACAGCGGACAGCGTACGCATAACACGCGACACACACGCACAGCGGGCGACAGCAGCTGGGCTCGATGCCGTTGGACTCTGTGTGGTGTGATGAGGCTATGTATTGCCGTCGCGCATGTTTTTTTACCGCCGCGTTGCCAGCAATGTGAACACAGCACGGCGTAAGTTCTCGAGACCTAGTACGCCAATCGGGATCGCACCACTTCGAGCGTCTGCTCCGTTGTGGTGTCTCGGGGCGTGATATAATAGTTGTGTTGGGCATGGGTACTGTGTGTGGCGAGTGCATCGTGACGATGTGATATCTGGTTTGGCGTTTTCGCCGGGCGATGCGGCCCGAGTGCCCGGGTAAAAAAAACACGATTTGGATTCCACGCCGCCACGAAGGTCTTCCCACACACAGCACCCATGCCTAACACAACTGTCAGGCCCCGAGATATCGCAATGGAGCACTCGCTCGAAGTGGTGCCATGACGAT